CCCCAAAGGTTCCAGACAAGGAACAAGAAACCCAGGCTTTGGTACACCGGGGAGCCCCAGCTGGTCCAGCAGGGCCAGCTGGGAGGTACCTGGGCTGGGGAGAGCTTGTGGCCAGGGCTGAGGGAAGAAGACAGGACCTCACCTGATTGGGGTCTCTTTCTACAGCAGAGCCCAGAGAACGCAGTGTCCTTCCTGCAAGGGAACCACCCCTCTTCATTCTGCTGGCCTCTCCATGAGATTTCCCAGGGCACCCACAACTTCTCAGAGGAGCTGAAAATCGGGGAGGGCGGCTTTGGGTGTGTGTACCGGGCCGTACTGAGGAACACAGTGTATGCTGTGAAGAAACTGAAGGAGGTGGGTGTAGCATCCTTCTGAGGGTCCTGGAAGGCTGGCAGCAGACCCTCACCTTTCTGGTCTTCCCCCTTGCTTCCCACACAGCTCCTTCAGCCCTCTGATTCCCCAGCTAAAGTCCCCAACCCCTTGGTTGTTCTGGGCCCAGGACAGATGGCACTGGGAGTGGCCATCAAGCCTTGGCTGCAAGAGCCTCATGCTGCCCCCCCATTTTCCCTGGGGGCTACAGGAGGCAGACCTGGAGTGGACCACTGTCAAGCAGAGCTTCCTGACCGAAGTGGAGCAGCTATCACGGTGAGCCTGGGACATCCCTCCAGGACCACACACCATGGGACCTAGCTCCCTCGGATACCGAAGCCTGCCAGGCCCAGCCTAGCTGAGGGACCAGTAGGCACTGGTCACTCCCACAACAGCAAGATGGAAAGCATGGTGGAGGCTGGGGGCCAGAGCACTGAGGCCCCACTTTTCCAAGCAGGTTTCGTCACCCAAACATCGTGGACTTTGCTGGCTACTGTGCTCAGAGTGGCTACTACTGCCTTGTCTATGGCTTCCTGCCCAATGGCTCCCTGGAAGACCGCCTCCACTTCCAGGTAGTCTTACCTGGCCTGACACGCTTCCCCAGACCTGCAGCACCTGGGAGGAGTGGGGCAGGGGGCCTGGGCTCTGAGCCTCGATGAGTGGGTCCCACCAGCAGGCAGTACTGGGCTTAGCATTTGGCCAAGGTGGGCCACCGTTTTCTGTGGCCTCTCCCTGACTATTCCTGCACGCCCAGGAGCCTGGGTTGTGGTGCCTCTAAAAAGGGGGTTATTGACTGAAGCTTCTCCTCTCTGCAAACAGAGTAGCTGAAAGGTGTCGTCAGTATTGCTCTTGAGGAAAGGGGGCAGTGGGCAACAGGCTGCACTATCTGGACCCACATTTGGGCCCTGTCTAGTGAGGTGCCCACAAGACACAGGGGTGAACTGCACATGTTGTTGGGGGAAATAGGGAGAAAGCCTCCAGTGATGTCCTGATCACCCTGAGATGAATGAACTTCAGGAACTGAGGACCTCTGAATTATATGATGACTCCAGAAAGCACGGTCCTAGCCATTCCCAGTATGCTTTATAAAGTGGTAGCATAGCTTAGTCTCAATTCTCGTGTGAAGTAGCTCATGGGTATTTTGCTCCTCATTTTCCAGAAGGGGAAACTAAGGCCCAGAGAGTGAAGTGCTTGTCCAGATCCCACAGTGACAGGTGGAGGGAGGGTCAGGATCAAGGAACAGTGGTCCCCAGCCTCCCCTGTGCCCCTTTGCTCTCTCTCTACTCCAGACCCAGGCCTGCTCTCCTCTCTCCTGGCCTCAGCGCCTGGACATCCTTCTGGGCACAGCCCGGGCTATTCAGTTTTTACATCAGGACAGCCCTAGCCTCATCCATGGAGATGTCAAGAGGTAAGAAGGGGGCACAGCCAGGCCCCTGGGTCCCCTGAGAGCTGCAGGAGTGGAGGCTATGGCAAGGCAATGGTGCTCCCAAACTTTCCACCAGCAGGGAGCCTTGTCCAGAGGAGCCCTGCCCTGAGTGCCCCTCATGAGGTTAGGCCTGGCCCCCTGCTCAAGGCAGAGATGGTGGGCAAGGTGCAGCCCCAAGGCCTGGGACATCAGAGCGGGACCCAGGGTCACTGAGTACCTGGCATGGGACAGATGTGGAAGCAGAAGCCAAGGACAGGGCCCACTGCTGTGTAGGGGCTGAACTGTGCAAGGGTGCTCTAGGTGCTGCTTGCAAGCGCCCAGGTAGCTGGACTGTTCTAACAGTACCAGCCACTCTCTGTAGGCAGGGTGTAGTGTGGGGTCTTCAAGTCCAGTTATGTCAGGGCCAGGCAGGTGTGGGGGGCAGAGTGAGCTGGGGCCAGGGCCAGGCTGACATCCGTCCTTTCTCCCCTAAGTTCCAACGTCCTTCTGGATGATAGACTGATGCCCAAACTGGGAGACTTTGGCCTGGCTCGTCTCAGCCGTTTTGCAGCAGCCAATCCTGGTCAGAGCAGCACCGTGGCCCGGACTCAGACCGTGCGCGGCACCCTGGCCTACCTGCCCGAGGAATACATCAAGACCGGGAGGCTGGCCGTGGACACTGACACCTTCAGCTTTGGCGTGGTGAGCCACAGTCCCCTCTACTGGCTGGAGGGCTGGGAAGCTGTGGCCAGCCAAGTCAAGAGGGCCTGCAGAATTCCATATAGAGCCGGAGGCCAACCCGGCAGGAAGTTAACAGAGCCTCAGCTGCAGGCCCCTCCCTCCCTGGCATGGGCCCCTTCCTTGGCCCTGCACCTCATTTCATATTTGTCATTTTGCATTCTTTTTCTTCAAGTCGGTGCTCCAAACTGCCAAAGCTTCATTCCCCTGACATCTGGCTCTGTCCCTGCAGGGAGGTGATCCTGATCTGCCTAAGGACTGGGCCACTCTGTCTACCCCACAAACCTCCTCTGCTTGTGGCCTCCCCACCAAGGCCTGGGACAGCACCATCCCAGAAGCCACTGCTATGCTCTCCATCTGCTCTCTCTCCAGGTAGTTCTGGAGACCCTAGCTGGCCAGAGGGCTGTGAGGACACATGGTGCCAAGACCAAGTACCTGGTGAGCCTCCTGAGGCGGGGCAGGGAGGGAGGCAGACAGGAAGGGAGAGAGGCAGACAGGGAAGGAGAGAGAGGGGCAGGGAGGCACTACTCCTGACAACCAACAGGTGCAGCCCTGGAGGGTGGAAAGATCTGGAATGCCACACTCCACAGCAGCCAGCCTTTGCTGCTGCTGACTCATCTTTGAAAGTAGGCAGGGCCCAAACAGCTTTCTTTACCTTGATGAAGAGGAACCTGTTGTCTGTAGATCCATTGGGCTTTTCCAGACCCCACCTCGGCTGGGGGGAGGGGAGGGAGCTTCCTAGCAAGGTAGTCCCAGTGCTTTGGGACCAGAAGCTACAGTGGAAAAGAGAACATGGGAGCCTGCGAGAGGCTGTGGACGGAGAATTGGGCAGGCTCTGAGAAGCCTTTTTCTGGGCCCCACCAGGCCCACAGCAGACAAACACTCATTGTGAAGGCAGGTCTGAGCTGCCCCCACCTCTTAATCATGGTTCCTGTCTGCCTCGCCACGGACTGAGATGAGACCTGAGTTGTAGTCCCAACTGGACTGTGTTCTTGGAGCAAATCTCCACTCTTTGCTCGTCCCCTTTCCCCATGTGGAAGCAAACTTAATGCCTGTGCAACACTTAGACACTTTCTGAGCCCAGAATGTGCTCAGTCAACATTTGCTCTTTACACTTTACCAATTGGTATACCTTCAGCTGCTTCTGCTCCTGGCTTGGAGCTGTTTCTGTCCATTACGGGGTCTGGGCCAGGAACCAGGGAGCCAGACAGTAGCCTTCCTTCACCTTCCACACCCATCGGCACATCCAACTAGGGCTGCTCTCTCTGTTTTCATCACTGCCCCGGACTCCTCAGGGGGTCCTTCTTTGGTCGTCTTTGGATCCTTTCCATTTGTCCTCTGTGCCACTGCCAAATTAATCGTTCAAAAATGTAAAGAGCCCTGGCTGGATGACTCCGTTGGAGCTTCGTCCCAATGCACCAAGGTTACAGATTTGATCCTCAGTCAGGAGTCAACCAGTAAATGCATTAATGAGTGGAACAACAGAGCATTGTTTCTCTCTCTCTCCCCCTCTCTTTGTCTAAAATCAATAAAAAGGGAAAAAATGTAAAGACATCATGGAAACCCCTTTGCTTTCCCACTGTGCCTGGGGTGAAGGCCCAATGCCTGAATATAGCCTCAACTCCCCAGGGCCTGGCACCGCCAGCCTTCTCTCTGTCCTCTAGGCTCTCTGCTGCCTATTCTAGGGCCTGAAAAGTCACCCCCCATTCAGGTTCTTCCTCCTGGTCCTTCCCATCTCAGAACTCAAGGTGGCCTCCAGTCCTGTTTCTGTTCTGGGGTGTCTCTCCATGGTACATTGCCTTTCTTGGTTCTGCTCTCTCTGGTTAATTCATGCTTTCAGATCCTGGCTCAGGTGCCACTTGCTCATGGGCCTCTGCCAGAGTTTTCCATTGCTTTTATAGGCTTGTTTTTGGCATCTCCCCCCCTCTAGGAAGTCCACTCTGTGAAAGTGGGCCCAGGCTGTTCTGTTTGTTGCTGTATGCCTAGGGCCTGGGGCAGTGCTGGACACACAATGGGTGCTTAATCAACCGAAGAAAGATCACAGGAGTCAGTGACCCAGAGCCTGGGGAATTCAGCTGAAGGCACAGCCTTCCTAGCGGCCATGCTCACAGTATCTGTCCCACAGAAAGACCTGGTTAAAGAGGAAGCTGAGGATGCCGGGGTGGTCCTGAAAAGCACCCAGACCACACTCCAGGCAGGTCTGGCCTCAGATGCCTGGGCTGCCCCAATCGCCACCCAGATCTACAAGAAGCACCTGGACCCCAGACCTGGCCCATGCCCACCCGAGCTAGGCCTGGCCCTGGGCCAGCTGGCTTGCTGCTGCCTGCACCACCGGGCTAAGAGGAGACCCCCCATGACCCAGGTATCCTGGAGGAGGGGGACAGGAAGCACTTGAGGCACCTACTATCCATGGGGGCAGTGGCCTACTGGAAATCCTGCATTCTTGGCACTACCCTGTAGTGACCCAAACACAGCACCTGCCAGACCTCTTTCTGGAAACAGAGTCTCCCTACATTTCTCACTTGCCCTTTGGTTCTGCCTGGGGTGGCGGGGGCCTCACTGAACCCTGCCTGGGCTGTAGAGAGGCAAAGGACTTCTATTGCTCCCTCTTCTGGATATACCGCACCACTGCATCTGCCTTTTTTCTGTCCCTTCCCTGGCCGCAGCCTCTTTACCTCTGACAGTTGAGAATAGAGAATCCCTATTTGAGAGCAGCAAGGTAGTGAGATTCACTCTCTAGAAGACAGAAGCCGTTCTCAGTCCTTAGCTTTGGTGGCTGTGACTCTCAGTGCTCCTTATGGCAGGGACAAAGGAGCAAGAGATAGAGCTTTCCTGGCTGCAGAGTGTGCCAGCTTAGTGCTCCCCACAGCCTCCAGAGCAGTGATGTGGGGCCTGGGATGGCAGCCGAAGCCCCAAGGCAGGTCACAGATGATTTGGAGCAGCCTTGTGGTTTGACTGTCTTTTGTGAGGGCTGTGATCGATTACTTACCCTGAGAGTCCCTCTTTCTCCTCGCAGGTGTACGAGAGGCTGGAGAGACTTCAGGCAGCAGTGGCAGGGCCATTCCTGGAAGCAGAGGCTGCCTGCCGCAGCCCTCCTTCCCCACAGGAAAACTCCTACATGTCCACCACCAGCAGTGCCAGCCCCCGGCAGCCCCTGGCAGTGCCCTCAGGAGCCCCAGCCCCAGTTACAGAGCAGCTCCAGAAAGGCCACAACCAGCCTGTGGAGAGTGACGAGAGTGTGTCTGGCCTATCAGCTGCTCTGCATTCCTGGCACCTGACCATGAGCTGCCCCCCAGGCCCAGCCCTGCCAGACAGCCCTGGACAAGAGGCCGCCACGTGGACTCCAGCACCCCTTGGGCAGGACGGCTCTACTCAAAGGGGTGCCACCCGAGAGTTATGGGGGAGTGGCCCAGGGCCCCAGCCCACAGCTGTGGAAGGTAGCTGGGGACATGTGCCCAGAATAGGGACCAGGGGCCTCCTTTGGCAACAGTCCCCATACTTCTCACCTCCAGCTTTCTGGGATAAGAGAACTGGGGCCTGATGTTAAGCTCACTCTGTCCCTAGCAAGCTCCAGGCCTCTGTCTTAGGACAGGTAGCCTGCCTGGCCTTGGAAAGGGGTGCAGAGGACAGCTCAGCATTGTCTCATCGTCCCAGGCAATGCCCCTCAGGTGGGCGAGAGGAGGTCAGGAGCTTACTTTCTGTTGAGCTGGGAACAAGGAGGCTCTACTCAGGACTAGGCTCCTGGCCTGGCTGGGAGTCAGGGCCATGATGCAGCCCCTCCTAGTCCCTGCCTTTAGGGCCCTGAGGACTTCTCTCCTGAGGGCAGGAAGCTAGGCTGGGGGCCAGGAAGATTCGTGAGACCGGGAGTGTCAGTGAGGAGTTCCTAGGGATAACAGCCCCTGAAGCTACAAGGGCACTCTCTCTACCCCAGGATCACTCCTGGGCAGTTCTGCGTCATCACGGCCACCACAGATTGTCATCAACCCAGCGCGACAGAAGATGGTGCAGAAGCTGGCCTTGTACGAGGATGGGGTCCTAGACAGCCTGCAGCTACTGTCGTCAAGCTCCCTCCCAGGTACCCTCTGCGCTTTGCAGCCGGATGCTCAGCCTCATGCTAGCCCCAAACAGCAGTGTTTTTTTTAATCATGTACTGATGAGGACCCTGCTACCCAAGGGTGTGAGACAGGCCACTCACCCCCTCTAACAATGGCTGGAAGCCCAGCCTACTCCCATGCCTCCCTCTGGCTCCCTCATTTTCTCTTGAAACAGCACCTTCCCTTAGCCCTGGGGTGCCAGTGCCCCCTCTGCTTCTAGAAAGCATTTTCCATTCCAGGTGCTATTTGAACAAGCTCCGCTTAGGAATAGAAACCCTAATTCCAGAGAGCACCCTGGGAGCTGAGGGGAAACCATGGCCCAGCCCTTGAACCAGCCCTCTGGCAGCCAAGGAGCCTCCTCCATTTACTAACTGGCATTTTCCTCCTGCAGGCTTGGGCCTGGAATACCAAGACAGGCAGGGCCCGGAAGAGAGTGATGAATTTCAGAGCTGAGCTCTTCATGCGGGCGGATCCCCCAAACCCGGAAGTCAAAGTTCTCATGGTTGGAAGTTCTCATAGCACATGAACCCTCAGGAGCCTGTGGGCAATAGGGGTGGGGCCCCAGCTTCACAGGGCAGAGCAGGTGGTGGCCCCTGTGCTGTAGGGGTGTGGGCACAGGCCAGGCTCAGAGCCACCCAGGCCGCCTGCTGGAAGCTGGCAGTAGGGCAGGACATCTCAGAGGCCTGCCTCAGTCCATTTGGGGGAGAGGAAAGCCACTGTCATGAGAGGGGTGTGTGGGGGAGGAATACATGTCTAAGGCTGCTGGCTGCATAGGCCAGAGAGGAGAGGTGAATGGGACCACTGGTACAATGGGATGCAGCAGGGAGCTGGCTCCCCTGAGAGCTGGACAAGGCATTTGCAGCTCAGGCCTACAGCAGCAGCCCTTAGCCCTTCTCTTTGTACTTTGCTGAAGCCCTGGGGAAAATTGGCCACTCTGTACAATAGTGCGAGTTAGGCCTGGGACCCTCCCAGCTGCTTGCAATGTGGAAAAGAGAGGTGTGGCTGTCCTATGGTTCAGTCCACTAGCTAGAAATGAGGGTTCTGAGATACCTCAGAGAGTCCAGCAGCGCCTGCATCAGGCCAGTGCCTGTAGGCTTCACTAAGGAGCTGAGAGCTAGCCTAACATGACTGCCTGCTACCCAGGCCACTCCTGGATGCTATAGATGGGTCCAAACCAAGTCAGCCTCCAGAGGCTTTAGGCTCAGCATCAGGCCCAGGCACTGATTGTGGCAAAGGGGCCACTGCCCAAGGTTCACCTAGGCCGGAGTCCTGTATTACCCAGACAGAGAAGCCCCAAGGCAAGAAGTTGGGATCAAGGCAGAGAAGGAGGAAAAAGAAAATGGGACTCAGTTTGAGAAGCAAGTGAAGTTTCTTGAAACCCAGTGTCTTCGAAAGTAGCCCAGGGCTGTAGCACAGGCTTACAATGATTTTGTGTCCACAATCATGAGTCACACTACATGCCCCACAAAGCTAGGCCTTGGTGAAGTCCAAGTTGTACTAGAGTAATAAAAGCTTATGTTTCAATCTCTGGTTGTACTTGCGGAGTTTGTTGCACTGAAAGCCTCAAGCTTTTCCCGTGCTTTCACCTCGGAGTTCCTGACTGTCCAACCCAAAACACCAGACCCCCCAAATCCTCTAGAGGCTCTTGTTTCCACTCCCAGTAAGCCACCATACTGGTGGCAGGTCCACAACACCACTACCCAACAGTACTTAAATGGGTTGTTAAGTTTTCCCTATACATTTTACGGGTTTTGATGCTATTGTAAATGGTATCTTGATAGCATTTCCTAATTCATCATTGATAGTGTGTAGGAATACAATTGACTTTTGTCTGTTGGCTTTGCATTCTGTGACCTTGCTCAAATTCACTTACTAGCTTTAACAGTTTTTTGGTAAATACCTTGGGTTAGTCTGTGTACACAATCATTTCATCTGCAAATAAAGACAGTTCTACCACTTCTTTTACAATCTGCCTTTTAGTTCTTGTTTTATAGCACTGACTAGAGCCTCTAGTCAAATGTTAAATAGAAGTGGTGAAGGTAGACATCCTTGCCTTGTTCTCAATTGTAGGTGCAAAGTGTTCTCTATCACCATTGAGTATAATGCTAGCTATGGGATTGTCGTATATGTATTTTGTCAGTGTGGTGAAACATCACTTGATTTTCAAATCAACCAACTTTGCATTCCCTAGCTAAAAAGAGCACTTGATGAATTTCACTTGCTAATATCTCTTGAGAATATTTGGGTCTATATTCATGAAGGATATTGATCTGCAGTTTTCTGGTAATATCTTTATATGATTTTGGTATCAGGGCCTCATGAAATTAAATTGGAAAGTGTTCCCTGCTCTTATTTTCTTAAAGGGCTTGTGTATGCTTAGTGTTAACGTCTTTAAATGTTTAATGGATTCACCAGTGAAGGCATCTGTACCTGGAGTTTTCTTTAGGAGGTTTTTAATTCTAAATTCAATTTCTTCAATTAGCTATCATCCCATTCAGATTTTCTGTTTCTTCATGTGTCAGTTTTAGTAATTTGTGTCTTTCAAGGAATTTGTCTGTTTCGTCTAAATTGGCATAAAGTTAATCCCCCTTCTCCTCCTCTTACACCTGCAGGCACTGTAGTAACATCCCCCCCTTTCATTCCTGATATTGGTCATTTGTGACTTTCCTTCTTTTGTTCATCATCCTAGAGCAGCGATTTTCAACCTTTCTCATTTCATGGCACATAAACTAATTACTAAAATTCTGCAGCACACCAAAAAATACATTTTTGCTGATCTGACAGAAAATAGGTATAATTTTGATTCATTCACACTGGATGGCTATTGTGTTGGCTGTTGTCATTTTATTTGACAATCTAAGGGAGAAGAGGTCAGTGCCCCTGACTAAATAGTCCGGTACTGCATGTTTTAAAAATTCTTGCGGCACACTGGTTGAAAATCGCTGTCCCAGATAGCTTAACTATTTTATCAAACATTTCAAAGTACCAAATTGTGGTTTCGTTGATTTTTCTCCATTGTTTGTCCATTTCCTATTTTGTTAATTTTCATTCTTTATCCTTTCCTTTCTTATTTTGGAGTAATGAAACTAATTTTGGTTTTAATTTGCTCACCTTTTTTCCAACTTCTTAAAATGTAACCTTAAAATAATTGGTTTTAAACCTTTCTTTTTCTAACATAAGCATTTAAAGCTACAAATTCCCTGCCTGGCCGACATGGCTCAGTGGTTGAGCATCAGCCTATGAACCAGGAGGTCACTGTTCAATTCCTGTACATACCCGGGTTGCCGGCTCGATCCCCAGCAGGGGGTGTGCAGGAGGCAGCCGGTCAATGCCGCTCTCTCATCATTGATGTCTCTGTCTCTCTCCCTCTCCCTTCCTCTCAAATCAATAAAAACATGTAAAAAATTTTTAAAAAATGAAGCTACAAATTCCCTTTGAGAACAGCTTTAGTTGAATTCTACTTATTTGGATATGTTCTATTTTCATTATCATTCAGCTCATAATGTTCTCTGACTTCCCCTGTGATTACTTTAACCAATGACTTAGTTAGAAGTACATTGAATTTCCAAATATTTGGGGACTTTGCAGATACCTTTTTGTTATATGTTTTTAATTCCATCATGGTCAGAGAATTTGCTCTGTATGATTTTATTCCTTTTAAAATTATTGAGATTTGTTTTATGGTTTAGCTTGGTGAATGTTCTATGTATATTTTATTTTATTTAAATATATCTTTATTGATCTTAGAGAGAGGAGGGTGAGGGAGAGAGAGAGTTGAAACATCAATGATGAGCGAGTCATCATTGATCGGCTGCGAGCCTGCAACCCGGGCATGTGCCCTGATGAGGAATCAAACCTCGATCTCCTGGATCCTTGGTCGATGCTCAACCACTGAGCCACACCCAGCCAGGCTCAGTGTATATTTTAAAAGAGTATATATTTGCAGTTGGGTGAAGTGTTCCTATAAATGTCAGTTAGGTCAAGGTGGTTGATAGTGTTGTTCAAGTCTTCAGTATCCTTGCTGATTTTCTGTGTGCCAGTTCTCTCTGGCAGACTGAGAAGAAAATAGCACAGTCTCCAACTGTAATTGTGGCTGTGTCTTTCTTCTTTCAGTTCTGTCAGATTTTGCTGCATCTATTTTGCATTGGGTGCATACACATTTAGGATTGTTATGTTTTCTTGATAAATTGACCCTTTTATTATTGTGATATGCCCCTCTTTATCTCTGGTAATATTCCTTCTTTTGACGTCCACTTTGTCTGGTATGAATATAGCCACTCCAACTTCTTTTTTTAAAATATATTTTTATTGATTTTAGAGAGAGAGGAAGTGGGGAGAGAGAGAGAGAGACAACGATCGGCTGCTTCCCTGTCTCCTGTGTGCACCCCAACCAGGGATTGAACCTGCAACCTGGGTATGTGCCCTGACCCGGAATTGAACCGGCGACCTTTTGGTGCACTAGAAGACGCTCAACCAACTGAGCCACACTGACACCAGGGCCACTCCAACTTCTTTATTATTATTATTGTTACTAATTTTTTAAAAAATATGTCTTTATTGATTTCAGAAGGAGGAAAGGAGAGGAAGAGAGAGAGAAACATCAATGATGAGAGTCATTGATCGGCTGCTTCCTGCACGCCCCCCCACTGGGGATCGAGCCCGCAACCCAAGTATGTGCCCTGACCGGGAATCAAACCCTGATCTCCTGGATCATAGGTCGATGCTCAACTGCTGAGCCACGCAGGCCAGGCCCACTCCAACTTCTTTATGTTTAATTTGTTTTGCGGTATAACTTTTCCTGTTCTTTTAATCTATCTGTGTCTTTATATTTAAAGTGCACTTATAGACAACATATTGTTTCAGCTTACTTTTGTAATCAGTCTGGTAATAACTGCCTTTAATTGGTTTGTTTAATCCATTTACACTTAATGGTTGAGCTTAAGTCTACTGTCATGCTATTTGTTTTCTGTTGTCCCATGTGTTCTTTGTTCCTTTTTTCCTCTGTTCCCTGACTTCTTTTGGATTAATCATGTTTCTGGTGTTCTGCTTTTTCTCCACTATTGGTTTGTTAGCTCTACTAACTGGTTCTGCTCCAGAGCCCCCTTCCTGCACCATGATCTGGAAAGTGCCTCATGGGCACAAAGGTAGAAATCCAGGCTGCTTGTGGGGGTCACTGCATTTGGTTTCCTTCTGATCATAGTCCTGCATTGCCTGTTGTCCAATATCTAAAAATAGTTATTTCAAATATTTTGCGTAGTTTTCTAGCTGTTTACAACCAGAGGGCTACTCGGGTATTGGTGATTCTATCATGGCACAATCACAAGTTTCCTCTCTTTTCTGAGGACTATAATTCTTTACTCAAAAGGCCACCCCATCTTTTTCCTGCATGATCAATTTCTCCCTTGCTCCTGGATCTATTTTCATCAAATATGTCCCCTACTAGCTTTGATTCTTGAAGAAGTCCTTTGACCCAACAGCTCTCTCCAATCACAACCCCGATTCTCTGTTCCTCTTTATAGCCAAACTTCTCAAAATAATTGTCTATTTTCTCACTTCTCATTCTCCCTTCAACCCTTTCTAATCTGGCTCTTACCCCATCACTCCACCAAAGTGGTGTTAAAGACACCAGTGATCATGTTGCCAAATCCAGTGACCTTTTCTGACTCCATCCTATGGGTCTCTTGGTGCCTACACCCCCTCTGACTGCCCTCCTCTGGCAACCTCTCCACTGCCTTCTCTGTCTCCTCTACTCAAACTCTACAAGGTAGGAGTCCCTCAGGGCTCACTCTGGGCCCTCTTTTCTATCTCCACTCACTCCTGTAGTGAACTCACTCATTCTTGTGGCTCCAAAGACCATCTACTTATTAATCAATTCCCAAATAACATCTCCAAAAATGAACTCTCTGAGCTTTTTACCTATACTTCCAAATGCCTACCACAAGCATGTCTTCTTTAATGTTTCACAGGTGCCATAGCTTAAATGACAAAATAGAACTTTGTATTTCCAGTTGCCACAAGCTTTCTGCTCAGTGTATGGCACTACCACCATCTTCCACCCAGCTGCCCAAGGCAGACCTCAGAAGTTAGGCTTTTTTAATAGAGTTCATTAGGAAGGTGTAACTTAAAGGCAGAAAAGTGCACAAACTGTACATGTGTAGCTCAGTGACCTTTTATATATGTATACATCCATGTGACAGACACTGCTTAAACGAAGATATAAGTCTGCTTCAATTATCTATTGCTATGTACCAAACCACACCAAAACTTAGGAGCTAAAACAATTACATTATTTTGTCCAGGAACCTGCAATCTGGGCAGGGCTCAGATGGGACAGCTCACCTGCTTCACTCAGTATCAGCTGGAGTGGCCTGAAGGCTAATTTCTGGAACCATCAGAGGCTTCCGCAGGTGTTTGGTGATTGATGCTGGCTGTCAGCTGAGGACTCTGCCAGGCTAGGAGATCTCCACATACCTCTGCCTCTTGGCCATGTGACTTCTTTTCCAACACAGAGTTAGCTTTTTTCA